ACTCGGTGGAAAAAAATCTGTATATATAAAAACATACTCCAATAAACTAAGGATTACACTTTGTAGAAACCTGATAATACATTCAGTAATTGAAATCAGTTTACTTTCAGATTATTGGCCAAGGATGTCTTTATTATTCCTGAAGCGCAATTTGTTGTACAGCCAGCAGTGACTACCATATAATACATCTGCAGCTAGCTCCTTAGACAAGGGTGGGCTATGAGAATCAGCCTTCTTCAAAGACCTCACTGTGTGCCTGCAATTTTTCTGCACACTTTGGCGATACCCTGTAGATGGTCATATGCTATGATATACTACAATGCAAGTGTTTTTGAGTATAAGCAGGCTTGGGATGTAATGGATTACATATGGAGTTGCGTAATCGGTATAAATTATAATAAAAATAAGACAAACAGTTTATGTTTTGTTGTCAGTTTTTAATACTACAGGGTGCAATGGAACAAGAAGGGGCAGCCACAGTGAGCTGAAGAGCTGAAGGCAAGAGGCTGCACACTCCTCAGCAAGGTAACCTTTTACTGCTCCTGCTGTTGTGCGGAAATCTACACATGCCATGCTCAATGTGAAATCAGGTTGCACTTGCTCATGGCATGATGGAAAAAGGCCAATTATTATTTGAACCACAAAGGTTTTTTTGGCTGTGTTGTAAATAGATACACCAGTTGCTCTGAGTGTTTGCTGCTTCCAGAGTTCTGGGACCTGCATTAAACCCTCAACTCACTGTTACCACCTGTAATTACAGATTTCGGCAAATCAACCAGGACAGACATTTTAAAGATAATAAATTCAAGGACATTATTAAAAGAAAACTTTGAAATGGGGATTAAAATACTCCTGAAACTGGCCGTGTCTCCCACTCCCAACCTGATGTGATGAACATGCAACTAAAAGCTGCTTGATTGTTTTCCAGTTTATCAGCGAGTTGCAGGATTTTTTCCCATCGCAGTTTTCCAGCTGTCTTATAAATAAATTGCATGTACTGTACTAATGGAAAACCTTGTGATAAATCAGTGTGTTTTACAACATGTTTACTTCACTAATGGTTCTCTCCAACTGTCCCTGTTTCTCCGTGAATTTCAGTGACACTCTTGTCTCTGACCTCTTTGGTCCTTCATGTGCGATGAGGAATATCTAAAAAGGTGCATCACATTGTGAAGGAAGACTTGTTTCACAGTAGCATCTGATCTTTTATTCATAACATATCACTGTCATTGTGCGTCTGCCTTTCTACTCTCATTCATCAGCACATTATGATATTGCTGTTTTGTTTCTGTTGTTCCCGCAGTAAGAAGGGCATAAAATTGTTTTCTTTTTAAATCTATAATCAGGTCTCTTGTACTGACCCTTAATTAATGTGTGTATGTGTGTGTGTATAAGGGAGACATAAAAGGGGGGGGTAGATTTCATAATATCAGCGCATCCATTGACTCATTCCTCTGCTCTCTCTTTTTCTTCTTACGTGGGCGAGTTCAATATCTACTGCATTATGAAGAAAACAGTAAAACCTGTGAAATCTTCTGTTGTAAAAGCTTAACGGTGCAGTTGGGCCCCCAGCTAACCTGCTCAATTTAACATTTATAGAGAAAGACCATTGTGATTAATACTTCACTCAGCCTTTACACCGTTGAGATTCCTTCTATGTTACCACTTGCTGCTGTGTTATGATGTGTGGGTCACTGGTGGAGGAGATGCTTCTCCAACAGCTGCAGACAAGCTTAACTGACAACACTACTTACTGAACTTCACCCAAGGAAGCGCCACATCTGCTGTTTACCAATAGATCTCTGTGCACATGCTCTTTAGTTGTAATGCCAGCAGTATACGGCGAAAAGATCCAAAACGGTGTGTAATCCGAGGCTGTCGGAGTGCTGTTATTACAGGGCTGCAAGCAAATGCTCATGTTCTCACTGCAACTCCAGGTTTGTTCATTTAATGGTGTCCATGCCAGATGGAGGAGCTTGTAGAGTAGCGGTGGGAGCAGACCGGAGAGCCACACTTGCCAGGCTTAATTCGCATGCTCCTCAAAACAAAATGTAAACCGGAAACAAGCAAGTCTATCACGTGCCATTGTAGTTCAGCTGCAGGTGATGGTGTCTAGGGTGCTAGGTGGCTATAGTCTGTGCACACTCCTGATTAAAGCCCACTTTCTTTTGGTCACAAACCTGTGAGAACATGCCAGATTTGATTTTGTTCCTGGTCTTAGAGGAAGCAAAGGGGACAACAACAACAGGCATAGAGACTGTCAGCAGTTTGATGACATGTTTTAGACCTTATCCACTAAAAACAGCTGCCTAGATTGGGGCTCAGAAAAGGATCTTTGTAAATATAATGTACCATGTTAGTGAAGTTACTTGCATTAAAAATGCAAAACCAAGTATCTGACAGGGAAGGTAGAAAACACATGTAACTCAGACTATGACTGTATAGTAACAGTTTTGTCTCATTAACCACATACAGTATGCAACTCTTGACTTGACCCCTTAGCGTAAAGTCACTAACTATGTTTAATGGGCAATTTTGCTGTCAGTCCCAGTCATGCCTTTCGCCCTTACATAATTAAGAAAAGGGAAGAATGAGAGAATACTACAAAGTCAGCTCATTCTATAAACTTCTCACTGTTTTGCAAGGCAAGCGGCTGCCAAGAAGCTTGCAGCTGTACAGTAACAACCTGTCCCAGAGCAAACGCAGGAGGCGCTCAGAGACAGCAAGCGGGATCCCATGAGACCGTGTTCACCAAGAGGTAGACACCAGTTAAGATTTTACAGCCAGGATGTGTGTCTGTTCGGGGTCACAGTGAGTCTTTCCACTCCTCTAACACTGCCATCACATAATCTGTTTTAAGTCTATTTTTGCCTCTTTCATCAGTAGCTTATTAAACTCTGACTGTGGGAACTATCAGCTGAAACAGGCTACATTACTTCACTTCTGTGAAATCTACTGCAGCTTCCAAGCGGGCATGTTACAGTATGGTCATGTCTTTTACTGCAATAGTGTATGTTATGTCTGTATCGCACAAACGGTTCCAGGCAGGGGATAAAAAATTACTTAAATAAATGAATAAAATTGGTAAAAAGGCAAAAAGAAATGAGTAAGAAACGCAAATGAGAAAAAGTCTGATAACACTGTTGCTCAAGACAGACATTTAACATTTTGTATTTTAAGCACGCAGCTAATGTTCTCATCTGTGGAATTTATACCGACTGCAATAAACTTAAATTCTAAGATTACCAACATTACAAAGAGCCGCAAAGGATTGTAAAGGTCAGAGCGACGGTGTCCTCGGAATATTTCTGTCACTGTAAAATGAACAAGTAAGAGAGAAGCTTTGTGAAAAGAATGAGAAGTAAAAGGGAAAAAAGTTAGAGTTTTTATGCATATTAAAATGAGATGGTATCCTGATGAGAAGCTGATGTAAGAGACCATTTAAAACTGGTGACACTGTTACTAACCACCTTATGCCACTTACAGCTCTGCAAAGCATTCGTTTAGCATTATATAGACATCAGCTTATATTATAGCACATGCATGACACATACTGGGTTCCATAAATAACATACAGAAAGAACTTTATATAAAACAGCAGCAGTAAAATACACAATACATATTTTATGTCAACTCCGCAAATTGGATATGTGTTATGGGAAGTCTTCCAGGAGTGCCGTCATTTGAGAGTGAAATCCATAAAAATTTGTTTCTCCTATGATATCTCATTCTACTTGAATGGCGCTGGTGGAGCAGAAAGCAGGAGACGATGAAGGAGGGAGCTCTTCTCTTCCAAACCCACAGGGTCCCTCCACTTCTCTGCTGATGGCCTGTAATTGGTGTTTAGCACTGTTGTGGAGAGGCCTCAGCTGCAGGGTGGCTCCTCTGGCTGCCTTTCAACGTGTCACTGGTTTGTGTGTCCCATTATGGCTTGTTCACTCTTCTCTTGAGGAATAGTGAGCATGTACACTGGCAGCTCGGGCCTTTCACCCAGCAGGGTGCAGAGGAGGCAAAACCACCAGCAGCTGCACCGCATTGTTCTGTAAAAGCAGAGAAGGGGGTGGATGGTGTAGGGGTATAATAAAAGACAGAGCAATATTATGGAATTTCATTGTTTTCTTTAGCTTGACTAATACTCGAGATAAAAGTTAAAATATCTTGGCCCCTGTTGCATCACATTTAACCAGTTCTTATACAATCTGTCTCTTGTGAGTACCCCAGCTTTATGGAAGTGCAATACTAAACAGCTGGAGTACCCCTTTAATAATTGTGCTACTGCCATATGTTGCACTTTTCTGGCATTTTATCCTGTTGAAGGACTTTTAGGGAGTTTTTCCTTATTTCTGTGAATATTTTGAGCTTTAAAAAGAAATATGACGGAGAGACAATGTGACCTACTTAGTATTTACTTCATTTTTACAGTGTTTCCTGCAGTAGATACACACTGTTATACAGTGACTCCTCCAGGGCTGTAAACGCACTTTTATTGAGTCTTGATGCCACTTAAGGAGTGACTGCTCCATTATGTATACCACCTTGTTCAGCCTACAGTTTTTTTTATATATATTTTTGCAGCACCTCCTTATGTCTGACTCATGAGTCACAAAGCTTACATGAGGGCAGCAGCTTGCACTCAGAGGTAGGCTACCCTGTAGGGGGCACTGTTGGTTCTCATGAACGACCAATGGCACAACAGGTTGCACTACTTCTAGTCCTCTCCTCAAAAGACTGGACACTAATGATCCATCCAGGTTATGGGAGTGGTAAAATAAAGATCCATTGCTTCTCTGCCATTTTTTAACCACTTTAGGTTTAGAGCCATTTAATCATGAAGACTTCCTCATCTAAATGTGTGGCTTTGAGTTACATTTTGTATAGTGTGGATTGCGCTGACAGAACTAAAAAATAAAAAAAAAATACAAAAGCGCAATCCCCATGTGATATGAGCCGGGAATTGAATGGCACAATACTTGCTGACGTGACGCCTGCAAACCCCTTCTAATTTGCCAATCCAGCCCGGAGTGCGCGTCCCATAGCCCCCCCTCAGTTTGTGCACCAGCACTCTCCCGGTCCACAGCCACAGGGTGCAGAGCGGCAACAGATTCAGGATTCACTCCACCTCCACTGATCTGTGCACGCTTCTTCATCGCGTGGAAAGTTGGAGGACTATCCTTTTTTTTTTACCCAGAGACGTCGCATGTACTTGCGTGTCACCCGCAGCATCCAGGTGATCCGGCGCGCAGTGAATCCAGCACTCTATGAAAAAGAAGAAGAGGAAATGATATCTCTTTGGGAATCACACACTGTTGAGGACTTTTTCCGCTCTTGTTGTTGGTGAAAAAGATTCTGCAGCCTGATCGGAAGACGCGGGTGCATTTTTAATGTCACATGTCAGTATTAGATGAGTCCGCGGCGCCGTATCCTGTGCAATAAGAGGAATGGTAAGAAGCAAAGAAACAAAACCAACACTGCATTTCACATACTCACTCCTATTTACATTTGACGCTGCTTTTTAAAAAAAATCAAATTATAGCCCAGTGTATTCAGATCCCAGAGAGAAAGAAAGAGGGATAATAAATCATTGGCACCATCAGCACAGATTTGTCAGATATGAAACATCTCTGGGTGCTGGAGGGTGTGAATGTTGACAGACGGTTTGTTTTCACACCTGTTTTATCCTCAGAAATTAACAGTTAAATCAACACCGGGACGTGCCACAAATAGGAATGTGCTTTGTAAAAAAAAATCCCCATTTTAGGGACTTTCTTTGCGGACTTCTCCCCCCTACTTGCTTGCCTTCTTTTAGATCCAAAATCTAGCCTAACTAACCTAACTGTGTTTGTGGGGGGATAACACTGACCGTGCATTCATGTCTGTGATGGCAGGTGGTGTCGCGTGGAATACAACTGTTTTGCTTTCAATGGAGAACCGCTCAAAGAGGATAAATTGCGTGCAAAGTTGTGTGGCTTTCTGCTGAGGGAGTTTATCCAGCGGGCGAACAAACAGACATGGGGCCGCTCCAGTGCGTGGGACTCAGCGCGCTCCTCCTGTGCACAGGTAAGATCCAGAGAGACCTCAGCTAATGTCAATGAGCACTTGTGTGTTCGTATACAGCCAAAGAAGAAGAATTATGGAAATGAAAAGGTAATGGTCGCATAATAACAAAAGACACAGAAAATGCATCAACCTTTAGAGAGTGGTTTTTATTCAGTGTGGAGCATTTAATGAAATGCTAATTATTTCATATCAGCCAAGAGAGACATATAATTAGCTGTAAGCTGCTGTGGCAGAATACAAAATGACTCCCTAATATTAACATGAATGAACTGTGACAGTTGCCTCGAGAGTGCGTGGGGTTTGGGTTTTGTAGCAGCAACTTAAATGGGATGCAGTGTGTGTGAGCGAGGCACTGCAGAGCACCAGGAATAACAACAGGCTGCAGACACAACCCAGAAAAAGAGAAAAAGCATCTTTTTGTTGCAAGTTTTGTTTGCAAGTTTTAGCACTTCTGCACTTGTGTGTGTGGTTATGTTTTGGGGTGCTCGAGTGTATATATTTGCATGTGAGAGTAGATTTTTTTTGCATGTTTGTGCAAGGTGTGTGGGCTTGTGCTGACCTGTGATATAGGAAAAACTAAATCATATGTTTTCACCATAACATGCCAGTCGAAGGAATATTTAAAACACCTTTCTCACTAGAATAAAGATATCTTTGTCATTGTCTAACAACAAATGTATGTGTGGATGATGGAGAAATACTGATTCTGCTGTGTGTATTTAAAGGAAACTACATATTTTAATTCTGTAGTTTTGTTTATCCTTCCATTTGGCTATAGTAACATTTCATTTAAAAATGCTGGGGCACCCATGTCAAAACAAAATGTCATTGCTGAGTTCATGGAATGTGGCAGCTTTGCTGGAAATTGGGGGCCATTAGCAACAAGAGCAGTGATTGATGACTGGAAACAAATGGCCAGTTTAGCCATATTACCTAAAGCACTCATTTCGAGAGGCGGGTAGGATAGCCAAAAACTGCAAAAGTAAAAGTACCTTACTTTATAATAACCAGGCAACCAGTAGCATTCAATATTCCCTGCCATTAGCCTGACAACAATTAGTCCTGCACATCCCTCGTAAAACTGTGAACTGTCGTATTTACAGTTTGGTTTCTGTTCACATTAAACAAACAAACAAGATACAATGTCTTGATTAGAGAGCTTTAGCCTATGTTCACACTGAAAGCCCTAGCGCTTAATTCAGATTTATTGCACAGATCAGATTGTTTTTGTTTGGCTGTTCTCATTATTTGCTAAATGTGGCCCAAATCAGATTCCAGCATGAACAGCTCATGGCCCTGTTGGGTCACGCATGACGAACGTAGATCTAGATAAGTAAAAGTCACATGAATTCTGATATGACTGATCATTCAGATTCTTCAGAGCTACTTCCTGGATGAACTTTGGCCGACTACTTTCCAGAGTTGTGCATGTGACACAGTTAGCAGTGGCAATTTTGGGTAGAACAACCTTTGTTACTAAGTAAGTGATTTTTGATTTAGTATAGTGGATTTAGTATAAGCAACCTGGCTAATTAAATTTGACTTGATATTGTGCATAATTTCATTATTTCATTGCATTAATAATTTTAGCATTTAAATTGCTATTATAACCAATTGGAAAAGTGGTGCTGAAACTATGAACAATCTGAACATCTGAATGTTCCCTAAAATTTGCATTAAAAAATATCATGCAAGTGGCTCTTTTCACCAACTAAAAGCCACTCCACAAATAAAGTGGTAGGCCAAAGATGGATCCATATCTCACTGGTTCTGGTCAGTCTCTTAATCTTTGCAGGTGAAAGTGGAGAGGAGGGAAAAAATGACTGATTCCATCCTGTCAGTCAACCCCCCTGGTGTGCAGCATCTCAGAGGATATTATAACTCTCCAGCCATCTTATTGCTTTCACCGAGAGGTTCTAGGTTGTCTCTATGAGACACACGCACTGACAGGCACATACTGTACAGGATACCTACGCACACACTCACATACTGTCAGACAGGCCATCAGGACATTTGGAAATACTCCACATAGCCTGGCATGCTATAGGATGTGATACAGGCTTTTTTTTTTAAAAACAAGACAGATTGGAGGATTGTCATCTCTTAGTCAAACATAAAAAGTTCCAGGGGTGAAGAATTTCCTACTTCACAGTAAGATAAACTCATAAAAGTTGCAGAAGTTGTCATTAACGGCTTTATTAATACTGCACCAACCAAAGGGATCCTTCAGTTAGTTAGGTCATGTTGAATGGTAGGTGAAAAAAAATTTATCCCTCGCTATATATCTATAATTGACTTAACTGCATACTGTATAGTTTTCATCACTTGTTCAAAAAAGTACTTGAATCCTGGTATAAAGGGCACTGTGCTAAGCAAGAGTGGGAGGATTCCCAATTGTAGTTTGCCTGCTCTTTTGTATGTGTGTGGGCCCGACCAGAGTGGATTTGGATGAAAAGTTAAAAAGTTACAAAACCAAAATGCATTTAGCCATAATTTAATAATAGCTCTCTCTCTCTCTCTTTCTCTCTCTCTCTCTCTCTCACACACACCCAAACAAACACCGGACAATAACCAAAATCACAGTCGCCACAGGCATTCAGGCTGTCTAACGGGGGATTTCATAACAACTGATGTCTAATGACCACTACCTGTAGCCACAGTATCCAACTTTCTGCCTCTCTGGGTACTCCACTTCCTGCATTAGATGTTGCATTAGAATGTTGGCAAATTGCAAGGTCTTAATATGAACATAATTTGTAGGGTACTGGGTTGGCCTATCTTATAACATTCAAAGAAGAAGAAACAGGCAGAGAAACTTAGGTTGTTATACATAAAATATGGAAAAAAGAGAGATCACAAAGAATGTATGTATGTCATGTTTTTCTAATGTACGTAGCAAATGTTACATGCTATATTTTCCCTGTTGTATCCCTGTAAGATCACCTGTCCACAAAGGGGACCTCAGGCAAAACCTGAAAGCTAAGTATTATAAACAGTATGCAAATCTTATATTTGATGGGTGATTCTTGATCTAAAAAGAGTTAATGAGCCCCGTTAGCAAGTTCCACATGAGCCCCCAGAGGATCAGCCGTGCATACTGTAGCTCAGTAAGCTTTGATGCTATTTCCACAATATCTTCCATCAGGACTTTTAGTCAGTTCAGCTCTATCGTGATAGTGCTGTTCCCGTTAACCTTTTCACTTGCTTATTTGTTAGTTTGTTATTGCAACTGATGCATATTCTTTCACCTGATAAGTAATGCTTTCACAGTGCTAGCACCAAAATGTAAAGGCATCCCCTGCTTCAGTTTGAACGTTTATCATATAACTTTTTCACCATATTAAAATCACTGCCAATAGACTCACAAGTAAACAAAAGAAAAGATTACAAAAATATATATATATATTATAACTACAAGTGTTGCTGCAACCAGCATCTGTACTCTTTTAGAGGTTGCAGTTGATTTCTCCGGACTGAAGTCATTCTGTGGACAGTTTTCCCTTGGTTGCCACAGCGAGTGTTTAACAATTCTACTGATGAAACAGGCGAAAAATTTAAGACTTAAAACAGATTATCCCATGCCAATGTTAGGAGAGAGGAATAGCCCAGAGTGACCCTGCACACACATTAAGGCTGTGAAATCTAAACTGGCGTCTGCCTCCTGGAGAGCAAAGTCTCATGGGATATTGCTTGTTGGCTCTGAGCATCTTTTGGTTTAATGCTAGGAGGAGTTGGCAGCAGGGCTGCGTGCTTCTGGGTAGTGATTCTGCTTAAGGAAAACGAAGAAGCCTATAGAATAAGCTGACTTTGTAGAAAAATCTTCACATAAAAAAATGTCTCCCCTTCTCTCCTTTTTTCACTTTTTTATTCTCCTTAAATGGTTCAAAAGGGATTTCTGTGAGCTGTAATGTTCATTACCATAAAACAAGCACTGGGATACTTGTTACTGGAGGCCTCGACCAGGAAGCTAAAATAAAACATTGCAGAACAAAGTGTTTGACTTTCCAGAGGCAAAGTCAAAGTTTATCACACAAAGAACACAACATTTAGTCTGTAAAGCAATAGCCCTCTAGACAAACACACATTGAATAATAATTTGCCAAATCCAGTGTAAAAATGTACTATCACTGAATGAAATGCTATATTATAAAGTGATAGATGAAGCCTGGCTTGCCCTGTATGACATAGTATTTTGCAAAAGGCTCCAGAGAGCAGCAAAAGGAAAAGCTGCACCAGAGAGCCATATGTCACGTTATATAGGCCATAACACAGAGACATAATTGATGAAGTAAAAGGTCATGTAAAGAACTGAGTTAAAATTTGTGGTACAACTGCCAAATTGTGGATGCTTCACAAAGCTACTATGTGGTCTGCAATAAAGTAAATTGAATTAAATGTAATTCAAAATTTAACTGAGTCACTAGTAGTTCTAACATGTAGGTGCCACTTTGTATATTAAAGGACAATTCCGGCGC